GCACGCGTGCATAGGCCAAGAAATTCTGCTGACGCTTTGTTGACACACCTACACTATAAGCTTGTGTGTATTAGTGTGTCTGTGTTTTACTAAAATGACCACTTGTTGTTGCTTTGTTACGATCTCAGAGATCAAAATCAAATCAGTTGCTGTTCAGCTTTGTAGAAGCAAGATCACGTTGCGGATTTTTTTTTGCTTATGATTTTTTCTCTTTTATTACACCTAGCAAAATGTTTGATATAAATTGGGAAAATGATTTCTTTTTTATAGAAAACATGGACGGTGAGGCACAATGCGTCGTATGTTATAAAATTATATGTAGAAAAGCTTTATTTTTTTTGAAAAGGCATAATGAAACTTGCCATGGACCCTTAAATGACCTTAGGGGACATGACAGAAAAGTAAAGTTGGTGACTTATTGCGTATTAAGGAATATAAAGGAAACATTGATTGGATAGATTAGTTGAACTTTAAATTAAGTTCAGTTAATATCTCGGTAATATCCCTTAAAAGTTCGAAATCGAATAGAAAGTCGTGATTTTCTTAATGATATTTCAGTAGTTTTATTTAATACTACTTTTTAAAAAATACTACTACTTTTCTTAAATGAAAAACTCTTTCCCTTTATTCCATTTTTGTTTAAAATGCCCAAAAGTTCATGAGTTTTTCTCGTCGTAAAAAGTATTTGCAATAGAAAACAAATTTCAAAACTTTTCTCAGTGTACCACCATTTTGTTATAACGTGCAGTCATCTCTCTGCTGCTTAACGCACACAAATATACACATGGTGGTATGTGTTTGCCCATGACTGTTCTAAAGTCTTGACTAAAGAGCATTCTGTAGTCCTGACTATAGATATGTCTATATCATTGTCTATAGAGAAGTCTATAGTATTGACTATAGGGTCTTGACTATGGAGCAGTATGTAGTCTTGACTATAGACTGGAGCAGTATGCAGTCTTGACTATATAGAAGTCTATGGTCTTGACTATAGAGCAGTCTGTAGTCTTGACTATAGACCAGTCTGTAGTCTTGACTATGGAGTAGCTATAGTCTTGGCTATAGAGAAGTCTATAGTCTTGATCATAGACTAGTCTATAGTCTTGCCTATAAACCAGTTGAGTCAGTTTGATTGTTTTAGTATTAGTATATCTTGGAAATAAAATAAACTTTTTAGCACTTAATATTTTGATTCAAAATCTATTGTATTTTAACTGAAATAAAGAGACCTTTAAGATGTACATTTATATAAGGTGCCTTTGTTTTAAGTTCGTAGGTTGAAATTTATGTACATATGTATTTTCTAAAAATATTTTATAATTTTGTTCAATAATTCTTTTTTACGTCATATTGATTTCATAAATTTGTATTATAAAATTGATTTATAAAATTAATGATGAAATCTAATAACAATTTGATGTGGAAAACTGGAAAATTATATTAGAAAAAATAAATGAAATTTCTTTGAAATTACCACCCATGGCTATAAACAAGAAATTTTATTGAAAATGTAACGATAAAAATGAAAGATACTTAGATAACGAGAAAAAAATAAATTTTAAACTACATAATAGTTCAATATGTTGAATATGAAAAGTCTGTTAAATCAGATTTGATGTTGACACAAACTAGTAAAATTTACAAAATTATTCTTCAAACTAAATTTCAATGTCATAATAAATAAAGAATTTGAGAATTTCAACAATGATTTTACTACAGAAGTTCTTAGTAGTTTGCAAACTGGTTAACATAAACATTTAAATACCTTCTAAATCATTCTATGATAGATAAAACGATATAGAGAAAATTTTCCAAAAACAGCTGTTACATAGACGAGTATAAAATAAATATAACATTTAAACGCAACTATTAAAGCTAAAAATATTTAAAATTTCCTACAAATGATCTCATAAATTGCACAAAAAGTGTTCTATTCCCTTGACACCTAGACGTATGAGTAATAGTCAATGCCAAAAAACACTCATTCGTTAAGTAACACTAATTCTTAATTTTGGGTTGTATAAACGTTTCCGTTTTGTTCTTATAAATTATTAAATTTTTAATTTTACTCGTAAACACATTGAGTGATGAATTCGTTTGATTTAAGAGCTGATTTGTTTTTTGTTAATTCTCACACACAATTTAATTCCATTTAACACTTCAAACTCACAGCTGTTGGGGAAACTTTATAAATTTTGTATTAAGATAATAAATATATAATTATTTGTGTATACCACGCTCTTTCTAGTGTAGGCATACTGAAATAATTAGACTGGATTTACGAAAATTAATTATAAAGGAGAAAATTCTCTACAAAAGGAAGAAGTTAACGAAAATTCTCTTTTTTAAAGAACTTTCGATAAGTCCCCTTTTTTTGGAATTTGGATATTCTCTATTTTTATGGAGAATTATTGATAAATTCTCTTTTTATAGAGAATTTTCGATAAATTCTCTTTTTATTAATATTTTTCGATAAATTCCTCTTTTTAAAGAGAATCTTAGATACATTCTCACTTTATAAAGAGTTTTCGATAATCTTTCTCTTTATAGAGAATTTCTGATAATTCTTCTTTTTAAGAGAATTTCTAATAAAGTCTCATTTTATAGAGAATATCTGATAAATTCTCTTTTATAGAAATTTTTCGATAAATTTTTTTCTAAGAGAATTTTCGATAAATTCTCTTTTTATAGAGAATTTTCGATAAATTCTCTTCTTATAGAGAATTTTCGATAAATTCTCTTCTTATAGAGAATTTTCAATAAATTATCTTTTTATAGAGAATTTTCGATAAATTCTCTTTTTATAGAGAATTTTCGATAAATTCTCTTTTTATAGAGAATTTTCGATAAATTCTCTTTTTATAGAGAATTTTCGATAAATTCTCTTTTTATAGAGAATTTTCGATAAATTCTCTTTTGATAGAGAATTTTCGATAAATTCTCTTTTGATAGAGAATTTTCGATAAATTCGCTTTTTATAGAGAATTTTCGATAAATTCTCTTTTTATAGAGAATTTTCGATATATTCTCTTTTATAGAGAATTTTCGATAAATTCTCTTTTTATAGAGAATTTTCGATAAATTCTCTTTTTATAGAGAATTTTCGATAAATTCTCTTTTTATAGAGAATTTTCGATAAATTCCCTTTTTATAGAGAATTTTCGATAAATTCTCTTTTTATAGAGAATTTTCGATAAATTCTCTTTTATAGAGAATTTTCGATAAATTCTCTTTTTATAGAGAATTTTCGATAAATTCCCTTTTATAGAGAATTTTCGATAAATTCTCTTTTTATAGAGAATTTTCGATAAATTCTCTTTTTATAGAGAATTTTCGATAAATTCTCTTTTTATAGAGAATTTCGATAAATTCTCTTTTTATAGAGAATTTTCGATAATTCTCTTTTTATAGAGAATTTTCGATAAATTCTTTTTATAGAGAATTTTCGATAAATTCTCTTTTTATAGAGAATTTTCGATAAATTCTCTTTTTATAGAGAATTTTCGATAAATTCTCTTTTTTTAGAGAATTTTCGATAAATTCTCTTTTTATAGAGAATTTTCGATAAATTCTCTTTTTATAGAGAATTTTCGATAAATTCTCTTTTGTAGAGAATTTTCGATAAATTCTCTTTTCATAGAGAATTTTCCATAAATTCTCTTTTCATAGAGAATTTCCATAAATTCTCTTTTCATAGAGAATTTTCCATAAATTCTCTTTTCATAGAGAATTTTCCATAAATTCTCTTTTTAAAGAGAATTATCGATAAATTCTCTATTTATAGGGAATTTTGATACATTTTCTTTTGATAAAAAGAAAAGAGAAGTTTCGATAAATTCTTTTTTTGAGGAACATTTTCGATAACTATAGAGAATTCTTGTTATAGAGATAATTCTATTCTAATATAATAGAGAGTTTTCGATAAATTCTCTCTTTATAAAGAATTTTCGATAAATTCTTTAAATTTTCTTGGGTGGAAAATTTCCATTAATATTATCTATTTATATAACATTTTCTTTATATAGAAAATTTTCGTGATAATATTTCTTTTAAAATTAACTTCTATAATTTCTCTCCTTTTATTGGAGCCTCCTTTAAATAGACTCCTAAATCCTTTTCAATGACACAATTAGAGTTCTCTTGAGTATAATAAAAAATTAAGCAAAATCAATGTCAGTGTAACGACTAGTTACTCTTTAAAAACAACAATAACAACATCAATTCATCATCTAAAACAATATGGATGCGATGATTGTAAAAGTATGTGTGAGCATAAAACCGCAGCACACACATACAACAAAAACGGCTCCACTAAGTAAATCAACGTTATTTTTCTTTTCTTTGTATTAATTTGTTGTTATTTCACTTATTTTGATTTTATACACAATTTTCTAACATATTTACACATACAAGATGATTGGCTCTTATTTCTTTGTTTCCACTTTTTTTCTATAGAAAAAATTCAATTTGCAAGATTTTGTTCACTATAATATTTTCACTTTTCCTTTAGTTATGGAAAACAAAATGATAATTTTTAAACATGAAGTTTGTGTTTTGTTGCGTATTTAACAAGTGATGACAACCAAAAGCTATGAAAACACTTTACAAACTGAAGTATTTGTGCAGATAACAAGCATATATCAAATGGTGAATGGCAAAATACAAAATACAAAAAAAAAAACGAAACATAAACACACAAAATACCAACAAAAAATAAAAAATACTAATATAAAAAAAGGCGCCAAAATGTCTAGAAAAAACAAGAAGCCACAAGTTTCTGGAAAAAAAGGAAAATTTATCGAAACAACTTTATCATAAAATTTTTGCTAACAACAACAATGTTCTATTGATGACAATGTTTACAAAAGTATTAATCACTAAAAATGTTGCTAAACATTTCTTTATAACATAAATGCGTATTTATTCTTTTAGCAGCAGAGCAGAGTTAATTTTACATTTCCTTTTATGTTTTCATTTTTAACTTCTTTTTTTAAACTTACCGTTAATGCTATGCCCACTGTAGCAGAAAATGAACCCAAACGAAATTCTCCTGTATTGTATTTAACCAGAAATGAAGTTTTACCAACTCCAGAATCTCCCAGCAATATAGTCTAAAAATAGTTGTTAAGAATGAAAACTTTATATTATTTATTTGCTAACATATTTATTAATGGGGATGGGATATTAAAGTTAATTTATATTTTATAATCTTAACTACAACGGGATTTATTAAGTTTTAAGCGAATGGTTGTTAAAGCAACAGCAGGAGGTCTATAAGTTAAAAAAGGGGGATGAAGATGCAAGAGGAAAATAAATAAAGTTGTTAAATTTTTGTGGTTATATGAAAGTATTTACTTGTACTGGGATGTTTTGCACTATGGGCAAAAACAATCCATTTTTCAATTAAAATTTTCCTTAAATTTTCTTATTATAGAAAATTTTCTATTTTTTAGAAAATTTTCGATAAATTTTTATAGAAATAAATTTCTTTTTTTATAGAAAATTATCAATAAATTTTCTTTTTATAGAAAATTTTCGATAAATTTTCTTTTTATAGAACATTTTCGATAAATTTCCTTTTTATAGAGAATTTTCGATAAATTTTCTTTTTATAGAGAATTTCGTTGAATTTTCTTTTTATAGAGTATTTTTGTTGAGTTTTCTTTTATAGAAAATTTTCGATAAATTTTCTTTTCATAGAAAAATTTCGATAAATTTTCTATTTATAGAAAATTTCGATAAATTTTCTTTTTATAGAAATTTCGATAAATTTTCTTCTTATAGAAAATTGATTAATTATAAATTTTCTTTTATAGAAAATTTTCGTAAAATTTTTTTTATAGAAAATGTTCGTTTTCTTTTTATAGAAAATGTTCGTTAAATTTTCTTTTATAGGAAATTTTCGATAAATTTCTTTTTATAGGAAATTTTCGATAAATTTTCTTTTTATAGGAAATTTTCGATAAATTTTCTTTTTATAGGAAATTTTCGATAAATTTTCTTTTTATAGGAAATTTTCGATAAATTTTCTTTTATAGGAAATTTTCGATAAATTTCTTTTTATAGGAAATTTTCGTTAAATTTTTTTTATAGAAAATTTTCGTTAAATTTTCTTTTTATAGAAAATTTTCGTTAAGTTTTTCTTTTATAGAAAATTTTCGTTAAGTTTTCTTTTTATAGAAAATTTCGTTAAATTTTCTTTTTATAGAAAATTTTCGTTAAGTTTCTTTTTATAGAAAATTTTCGTTAAGTTTTCTTTTTATAGAAAATTTTCGTTAAGTTTTTCTTTTTATAGAAAATTTTCGTTAAATTTCTTTTTATTAAGAAAAATTTCGTAAATTTTCTTTTATAGACATTTCGTTAAATTTTCTTTTATAGAAAATTTTCGTTAAATTTTCTTTTTATAGAAATTTTCGTTAAATTTCTTTTTATAGAAAATTTCGTTAAATTTTCTTTTATAGAAAATTTTCGTTAAATTTTCTTTTTTATAGAAAATTTCGTTAAATTTTCTTTTATAGAAAAATTTTCGTTAAATTTTCTTTTTATAGAAAATTTCGTTAAATTTTTTCTTTTATACAAAATTTTCGTTACATTTTCTTTTTATAGAAAATTTTCGTTAAATTTCTTTTATAGAAAATTTTCAATAAATTTCTTTTATAGAAAATTTTCAATAAATTTTCTTTTTATAGGAAATTTTCGATAAATTTTCTTTTATAGGAAATTTTCGATAAATTTTCTTTTTATAGGAAATTTTCGTTAAATTTTTTTTATAGAAAATTTTCGTTAATTTTCTTTTATAGAAAATTTTCGTTAAATTTTCTTTTTATAGAAAATTTTCGTTAAATTTTTTTTTTATAGAAAATTTTCGTTAAATTTTTTTTTTTTATAGAAAATTTTCGTTAAATTTTCTTTTTATAGAAAATTTTCGTTAAATTTTCTTTTTATATAGAAAATTTTCAATAAATTTTCTTTTTATATAGAAAATTTTCAATAAATTTTCTTTTTATATAGAAAATTTTCAATAAATTTTCTCTTTATATAGACAATTTTCAATAAATTTTCTTTTTATATAGAAAATTTTCGATAAATTTTTTTTTTTTATATAGAAAATTTTCGATAAATTTTCTTTTTATATAGAAAATTTTCGATAAATTTTCTTTTATATAGAAAATTTTCGATAAATTTTCTTTTTATAAATTTTCTTTTTATAGGAAATTTTCGATAAATTTTCTTTTTATAGGAAATTTTCGATAAATTTTCTTTTTATAGGAAATTTTCGATAAATTTAAATTTTTGATAAATTTTCTTTTTATATAGAAAATTTTCGATAAATTTTCTTTTTATATAGAAAATTTTCGATAAATTTTCTTTTTATATAGAAAATTTTCGATAAATTTTCTTTTTATATAGAAAATTTTCGATAATTTTCTTTTATATAGAAAATTTTCGATAAATTTTCTTTTATATAGAAAATTTTCGATAAATTTTCTTTTATATAGAAAATTTTGAATAAATTTTCTTTTATATGGAAAATTTTGAATAAATTTTCTTTTTATATAGAAAATTTTGAATAAATTTTCTTTTTATATAGAAAATTTTCGATAATTTTTCTTTTTATATAGAAAATTTTCGATAATTTTTCTTTTATATAGAAAATTTTCGATAAATTTTCTTTTGTATAGAAAATTTTCGATAAATTTTCTTTTTGTATAGAAAATTTTCGATAAATTTTCTTTTTGTATAGAAAATTTTCGATAAATTTTCTTTTTGTATAGAAATTTTCGATAATTTTTCTTTTTGTATAGAAAATTTTCGATAAATTTTCTCTTTGTATAGAAAATTTCGATAATTTTTCTTTTTGTATAGAAAATTTTCGATAAATTTTCTTTTTATATAGAAAATTTTCGATAAATTTTCTTTTTATATAGAAATTTTCGATAAATTTTCTTTTTATATAGAAAATTTTCGATAAATTTTCTTTTTATATAGAAAATTTTCGATAAATTTTCTTTTATATAGAAAATTTTCGATAAATTTTCTTTTTGTATAGAAAATTTTCGATAAATTTTCTTTTTGTATAGAAAATTTTCGATAAATTTTCTTTTGTATAAAAAATTTTCGATAAATTTTCTTTTTGTATAGAAAATTTTCGATAAATTTTCATTTTGTATAGAAAATTTTCGATAAATTTTATTTTTATATAGAAAATTTTCGATAAATTTTCTTTTATATAGAAAAATTTCGATAAATTTCCTTTTATATAGAAAATTTTTGATAAATTTTCTTTATATATAGAAAATTTCGATAAATTTTCTTTTTACATAGAAAATTTTCTATAATTTCTTTTATATAGAAAATTTTCGATAAATTTTCTTTTTATATAGAAAATTTTCGATAAATTTTCTTTTTGTATAGAAAATTTCGATAAATTTTCTTTTTGTATAGAAAATTTTCGATAAATTTTCTTTTGTATAGAAAATTTCGATAAATTTTCTTTTTGTATAGAAAATTTTCGATAAATTTCTTTTTGTATAGAAAATTTTCGATAAATTTTCTTTTTGTATAGAAAATTTCGATAAATTTCTTTTTGTATAGAAAATTTTCGATAAATTTTCTTTTTGTATAGAAAATTTTCGATAAATTTTCTTTTTGTATAGAAAATTTTCGATAAATTTTCTTTTTGTATAGAAAATTTTCGATAAATTTTCTTTTTGTATAGAAAATTTTCGATAAATTTCTTTTTGTATAGAAATTTTCGATAAATTTTCTTATTTTTGTATAGAAATTATCGATAAATTTTCTTTTTATATAGAAAATTTTCGATAAATTTTCTTTTATATAGAAAATTTTCGATAAATTTTCTTTTTGTATAGAAAATTGTCGATAAATTTTCTTTTTGTATAGAATATTTCGATAAATTTTCTTTTTGTATAGAAAATTTTCGATAAATTTTCTTTTTGTATAGAATATTTTCGATAAATTTTCTTTTTGTATAGAAAATTTTCGATAAATTTTCTTTTTGTATAGAAAATTTTCGATAAATTTTCTTTTGTATAGAAAATTTCGATAAATTTCTTTTTGTATAGAAAAATTTTCGATAAATTTTCTTTTTGTATAGAAAATTTTCGATAAATTTTCTTTTTGTATAGAAAATTTTCCGATAAATTTTCTTTTTATATAGAAAATTTTTGATAAATTTTCTTTTATATAGAAATTTTTCGATAAATTCCTTTTAATATAGAAAATTTTCGATAAATTTCATTTATATAGAAAATTTTCGATAAATTTGCTTTTATATAGAAAAATTTCGATAAATTTTCTTTTTATATACAAAATTTTCGATAATTTTTCTTTTAATTTTAATATAGAAAATTTTCAATAAATTATCTTTTTATATAGAAGATTTTCAATAAATTTTGTATAGAAAATTTTCGATAAATTTTCTTTTTATAGGAAATTTTCGATAAATTTTATTTTTATAGGATATTTTCGATAAATTTTCTTCTTATATAAAAATTTCGTAAATTTTCTTTTGATCTAAAATTTTGGTTGAATTTTCTTTTTATAAGGAATTTTTGTTTATTTTTTTTTTTGATAAATCTTCTTTTTTCACTAAATTTTCGTTGAATTTTTTTATTATATTTTTTAATAAATTCTTCAAATTCCAACTTACCTTATGATTAACCGTATCATCGAATGGTGGTAAATGTTGATGCGTCAAATGTGATGGCATGCCCACCTCATCGTAATGATAGGAACGCCAACCATCATCATAATCATCTATTGTATAGCCAGCATCCTCTAAGGCATACATTTGTAAAGCTTCACGCGGTGGCCTATAGCCCGGATAGCCGCTGGGCGTTTGTGAACGACAATATTCCGATGATGCCAAAGCTCCATCGCCATAATAACCCGACCCCCTTGTTAAACTATACTCCGTATTGGCATAATCTTTACGACGCCTGGACTCCTCTACACGTCGCTGTGTAGTTTCGGGGTCCTCAAAGACATCATCACTCATACTGCTGGCATCGTCGGGAATTTGTGACATTTGTTATTATTTTTGTTTTATTTTTACTTATTGCAATTTTAAGTTGATTGTTTTAAAGTTAAAGTTAATAAGTAATTAAATTAGTATAGTTGTTGTTTTGCAGTAGATATGTTAATTATAAGTTTAAGTTTATTTTTATTAAGATTGTTTTAAAGTTTTGGAAGGGGTGGGAAATATGTTTAGAGTTTTTAATTTAACAGTTTATTTTTTATACAATTAAAGCTCTATAAGCATTAAGGTACTAAATAATATGTTTGCTATAATGTTTCTTAGCATTCAAAGCTATTTTGCAGCTTTTTAAGTTTATGTTTTAATAAAGCTTTTTTCACAATTTTAGCCTAGTAAGCATCCTTTTTGTTATTGGTCCTTTTTAACGTTATTTTTTTAGGTTCGTAAGAGCTTTTTTGGTGGTGTTGTGTGTTTGCTAAAAATTAAATCGTTTAAAGTTAAGCTTTTAAATTAGCTTAAAAGCTTTTTAAGAGTTGCCAAATTATTTCAAATTATAAATGGAAATCTCTAAAATAGAGACAAATTTTAAACAGTATGAAATACTATAGACTTGTGTAAAACCAAGGCAAAAGATTAGTCTATTCCATAAACAAGAGCATACAGTTGTAAATAGTAATATCAATAGACTAATCAATACTAGTCCATTGACTGGCCCAAAAACTAGTCAATAGAACAGTCCAAATATTGGACAATAGATTATACATAGGTAGTCAATTAATAGACTAGTCACTAGTCCATTGACCTGTCAAACAACTATCCAATAGAGTAGTGAATAGACTAGTTCATAGCCTAGTCCATATAATAGTCATTAAACTAGTTCATAGCCTAATCCATAGACTAGTAATAGACTAATCCAATAGAGTAGTTCATAGCCAGTTCATAGCCTAGTCCATATAATAGTCAATAAACTAGTTCATAGCCTAATCCATAGACTAGTAAATAGACTAATTCATAGGCTAGTCAATTTACTAGTCCAAGGACTAATGAATTTAATAGTCTATAGACTAGTCCATAAATTGGTCAATAGCCTATAGCTCGTCCACAGACCAATCAGTAGACTTACCTATATAGTAGTCATTAATGTAGTCCACAAACCAATCAAAAAACTAGTCCATAACCTATTCCATAGACTAGTTCAAAGACTAGTATATTGATTGGTGCATAGACCAATCCATAGACTTACCTATATAGTAGTCATTGATCTAAACCAGTCAAAAAACTAGTCCATAGACTGACTAGTCAATAAAATAATCCAAAACTCGTCAATAGACAAATCCATAAACAAGTCAGTAGACCGGTCAATAGACAAGAGGGATCAATAAACTAGGCAATACACTATCCCATAAACTAGTCAATAGATTTGTATATAGACTTGTTCATATAGTAATCAATAACCTAGCACATACACTACTCCAAATATTACTCCATAGGCTAATTCAAAGACTAGGCTATAGGCTAGACTAGCCCATAGACTAGACAATAAACTATCCATAGAATAGTCAATAGTCTAGGTTAAAAACTTGTCAATGGAATAGTCCATAAAACTAGTCAATAGACAAGACCATGGAGTGATCAATAGAAATAATAATATAATAATAATAATAATAATAATAATAATAATAATAATAATAATAATAATAATAATAATAATAATAATAATAATAATAATAATAATAATAATAATAATAATAATAATAGACTAGCCCATATACTTATCCATAGACTAGTTCATAAAGTTGTCAATGGAATAAGCCATAAAGTAGTCCATAGGCTAATCAACAGACTAGACCATGAAGTGATCAATAGACCAGTCCTTATACTGTCCCATACACTAGTCAATAGTCTTGTACAGAGACTAGTCAATAGACTTGTCCATAGACTAGTTAACAGACTAGTTAGTCCATTGACCAGTCAATAGGCTAGTCCATAGACCCAGTTAAAATACAAGTACATAAAGTAGTCAATGGACTAGTCAAGAGCCTAGACCAGTAGATCAATAAACTAACTATTCACTGGACTAGTACATAGACTAGTTCATAGATTAATCAGCAGACTAGTCCAAAGACTTTTCAATCGGCTGGTCAATAAGCTAGCCTAGACTGTAGGCTAAAGCCATTAAAACTAACCGATAGACTAGTCCATACATTGGTCAATGATTAGTTCATATACTAGTCAATAGATTAGTCGAGACCAGTCAATGGACTAGACCATAGCCTATTCAATAGACTAATCCATAGACTAGTCAATAAACTAATCCATAGACTACTCAATAGTCTAGTTCATAAAGTTGTCAATAGAATAGTCCATAAAGTAGTGAATAGGTTAGTTAACAGACAAGACCATGGAGTGATCAATGGAACAAAAAATAGACTAGTCAATAATCTAGCCCATAAACCAGACAATAAACTAGTCAATAGACTTGTGAAAATACTTGGTTATATACTAGTCAATGGACTATTTCATTGACCTGTCAATAGTTTAGTTCATTGATCATTCAATAGACTATTCCATAGAGAATTCAAAAGACTACATAATCCATAAAGTAGTCAATAAACCAGTCCAAAGACTAGTCAATAGGCGAATCCATAAAGTAATCAATAGACTATTCCATAGACTAGTCAATAGACTAATACATAGACTAGTCAACAGTCTAATCCATAGACCAGTAAATAGACTATTCCATAAAGTAGACTAGTCAACATGTCATTGATTGATCAGTAGTCCAATCAATAGACCAGTCCATAAAGTACTCAACAGACTAGTCCAAAGATTAATCTATAGGCTAGTCCAAACACTAATCAATAGGCTGGTCCAAAGAGTCAATAAACTCTTCCATAAAGCTGAAAATACATTAAGTAGTCAGTAAACTAGTCAAACAAACAAGACCATAAAGTAATCATTAGTAAAAAAACATTTATAATCACAAATAATCTGGCAACTCATACAGCTCTCAAAAGCTTTGGTTTTTCTTACTCTCTTAAAAGCTTTTATCTCTTGCTTTTGTTTAACAAACGGTTTTGTCAACAGTGAACTAATTTCCTTAGGAAAATTTGCTGCAGCTGGTTCAAAATTTCTTGCACTAATATTAATAATTAATTAATATATTTTGTTTAAGAACTTCATTGTATTATTTTCACTCTATAATGTTAGTTTTGAGTTTAGTTTTTAGAATTTATTTAGATTTAAAGAATTATTTATTTGTTTTCTTTTTAACCACTCTCTTATACATATTTGACACAATTTGTGTTTCTTTTTAGACATGTGTTGAGAAGAATAAGAGAGCTAAAGCTAAGTTTTTGACACTATAGTAATTTTCTTGTTGTTGTGTTGTTTTTCTTTTTTTTTTTTACTTTAACGTTACTTTTGTTTTGGCAGTTATATTCGTGCACAATTGTTATTGTTATGAAGTTTCCTTTTGCTATTTTATTAGTTTTGTTGTTGTTGTAATTGAATGCGTAATAGAGTTAATAGAGTTGGAAACAGATTTATTTCTTTTATGGTTTTTGTAGGGTTATTTTTGAGTTACAAAGTTATTTATTTATTATTCTGTATAGTTTTGTTTATTTTATTTTGGCTACATTTGACATTTGCAAATGTACTTGTCAAAGATTTTTTTGTTTTTTTATCAAAGTTGAAAGGTTAAGTTTTAGCTTTAGAGTTTTTAAATTTATTTTTATTTAATTTAATTATTTATATAATAAATTCCCTAAATAAATATTCGTTTCTTTAGTTTCCGTTCAAATGCCTTTTTTTTAATTTATATGAGTTATATTAATGTTTTATTAATTAAATAAATAGTTTACTAAATATTTTATGTTTGTATATGTTTTCTATATAATAATTAATAATAATTTATTTAAAACTACAAAAATTGGTGTTGTCGTTAACTGCTAAAGCACTATATTTTAGGTTTTTTTTTTTAATTTTTGGGGTTTTTTATTTACATTTCAAATTGCTTTTAGGGTTTTATGGTTTTAGGTATTTTTTTTTGTTGAAGTTAAAGTGGTCTTAACTCTAGGGAGAATACATATGGTTATTGTATTTTCATGTCATGGATTTTTCTGCTTTTTTTACTTAAATTTTATAACAATTTGTTTGATTTTTTGTTTGGTCATATATTTTTATTTTTCTATTACACTATCACAGGGTATATTTAACTCTACGTGGGAACTTTTAATTTTTTTTACATATTTCTAGTTAATTTTTCATATTTATATTATTATTTCTATAGTATTTAATAATTTTCTAGTTTTTTTTCTTCTGTTCGTTTTGTCCTTTAGGGAATATTTGTGTCTATAAATTTGTTTGTGTATGTGTTTATTATACCATAAGGCTTTTTTTTAACACTACCCCTTCCACCTTTGGTATATAATTTTATAATCATTTATCTATAGGCCATGTTCTTGTTATTCGTTTTTTTTATAATTTATACATTTCAAACAAACGTTAACATTTATTATTTCACTTAAAATAATTCATTTTATTAATTAGCCCATTTTTTCCTATAATTTAATCGCTTTTTTTCTATTTAATTTTCATTCTTTCTCTATTAGTTAGTTGTTTTTCCCGTTAAATCTACACTTGTACTAATGCCTTTGACATTTCGGCAATACATTGACCGACATTTTTTGAGAGAGCAAAAGCAAATAGTAGACAAACATAAATATTGCTTAAATTTCCTTATTTCTATGAAAAAATACAGCCCTACATGTGCCGTTATCTGATTTCCTGTGAGAGCTTTTCAAACGCAACGAATTGAGCACATGAGAGGAAGTGGAAAATGTCAATGAATGAAATGCGGTAAGAGTTGCCATATTGTTAAACTATTGTTTAATGAAAAGTAGGGCCAATTGTTATTAGTGCAGGTGGAGAGGTTAGGGCAATGGTAGAAATATGTAATAAATTTTAGTTTCGAAATCCCAATAGAGGCCAATAATGGGGAAAATTGTGTAAAAGTTTTAGTTTTTAATATATGTATATCTTAAGAGGAGATATATAGTTAGTAAGTTAGTTAGTTAGTAGTTAGTTAGTAGTAGTAGTTAGTTAGTTAGTTAGTTAGTTAGTTAGTTAGTTAGTTAGTTAGTTAGTTAGTTAGTTGTAGTTAGTTAGTTAGTTAGTTAGTTAGTTAGTTAGTTAGTTAGTTAGTTAGTTAGTTAGTTAGTTCGTTAGTTAGTTAGTTAGTTAGTTAGTTAGTTAGTTAGTTAGTTAGTTAGTTAGTTAGTTAGTTAGTTAGTTAGTTATTTAGTTAGTAGTTAGTTAGTTAGTTAGTTAGTTAGTTAGTTAGTTAGTTAGTTAGTTAGTTAGTTAGTAGTTAGTTAGTTAGTTAGTTAGTTAGTTTGTTAGTTAGTTCGTTAGTTAGTTAGTTAGTTAGTAGTTAGTTAGTTAGTTAGTTAGTAGTTAGTTAGTTAGTTAGTTAGTTAGTTTAGTTAGGTAGTTAGTTAGTTAGTTATAGTTAGTTAGTTAGTTAGTTAGTGTTAGTTAGTTAGTTAGTTAGTTAGTTAGTAGTTAGTTAGTTAGTTAGTTAGTTAGTTAGGTAGTTAGTTCGTTAGTTAGTTAGTTAGTAGTTAGTTAGTTAGTTTAGTTAGTTAGTTAGTTAGTTAGTTGGTTAGTTAGTAGTAGTTAGTAGTTAGTTAGTTAGTTAGTAGTTAGTTAGTTAGTTGGTTAGTTAGTTAGTTAGTTAGTTAGTTAGTAGTTAGTTAGTTAGTTAGTTAGTTAGTAGTTAGTTAGTAGTTAGTTAGTTAGTTAGTTAGTTAGTTAGTTAGTTAGTTAGTTAGTTAGTTAGTTAGTTAGTTAGTTAGTTAGTTGGTTAGTTAGTTAGTTAGTTAGTTAGTTAGTTAGTTAGTTAGTTAGTTAGTTGGTTAGTTAGTTAGTTAGTTAGTTAGTTAGTTAGTAGTTAGTTAGTTAGTTAGTTAGTAGTTAGTAGTTAGTTAGTTAGTTAGTTAGTTAGTTAGTTAGTTAGTTAGTTAGTTAGTTAGTTAGTTAGTTAGTTAGTTAGTTAGGAGTAGTTAGTTAGTAGTTAGTTAGTTAGTTAGTTAGTTAGTTAGTTGGTTAGTTAGTTAGTTAGTTAGTTAGTTAGTTAGTTAGTTAGTTAGTTAGTTAGTTAGTTAGTTAGTTAGTAGTTAGTTAGTTAGTAGTTAGTTAGTTAGTTAGTTAGTTAGTTAGTTAGTTAGTTAGTTAGTTAGTTAGTTAGTTAGTTAGTTAGTTAGTTAGTTAGTTAGTTAGTTAGTTAGTTAGTTAGTTAGTTAGTAGTTAGTTAGTTAGTTAGTTAGTTAGTTAGTTAGTTAGTTAGTTAGTTAGTTAGTTAGTTAGTTAGTTAGTTAGTTAGTTAGTTAGTTAGTTAGTTAGTAGTTAGTTAGTTAGTTAGTTAGTTAGTAGTTAGTTAGTTAGTTAGTTAGTTAGTTAGTTAGTTAGTTAGTTAGTTAGTTAGTAGTTAGTTAGTTAGTTAGTTAGTTAGTTAGTTAGTTAGTTAGTTAGTTAGTTAGTTAGTTAGTTAGTTAGTTAGTTAGTTAGTTAGTTAGTTAGTAGTTAGTAGTAGTTAGTTAGTTAGTTAGTTAGTTAGTTAGTTAGTTAGTTAGTTAGTTAGTTAGTTAGTTAGTTAGTTAGTTAGTTAGTTAGTTAGTTAGTTAGTAGTTAGTTAGTAGTTAGTTAGTTAGTTAGTTAGTTAGTTAGTTAGTTAGTTAGTTAGTTAGTTAGTTAGTTAGTTAGTTAGTTAGTTAGTTAGTTAGTTAGTTAGTTAGTTAGTTAGTTAGTTAGTTAGTTAGTTAGTTAGTAGTTAGTTAGTTAGTTAGTTAGTTAGTTAGTTAGTTAGTTAGTTAGTTAGTTAGTTAGTTAGTTAGTTAGTTAGTTAGTTAGTTAGTTAGTTAGTTAGTTAGTTAGTTAGTTAGTTAGTTAGTTAGTTAGTTAGTTAGTTAGTTAGTTAGTAGTTAGTTAGTTAGTTAGTTAGTTAGTAGTTAGTTAGTTAGTTAGTTAGTTAGTTAGTTAGTTAGTTAGTTAGTTAGTTAGTTAGTTAGTTAGTTAGTTAGTAGTTAGTTAGTTAGTTAGTTAGTTAGTTAGTTAGTTAGTTAGTTAGTTAGTTAGTTAGTTAGTTAGTTAGTAGTTAGTTAGTTAGTTAGTTAGTTAGTTAGTTAGTTAGTTAGTTAGTTAGTTAGTTAGTTAGTTAGTTAGTTAGTTAGTTAGTTAGTTAGTAGTTAGTTAGTTAGTTAGTTAGTTAGTTAGTTAGTTAGTAGTTAGTTAGTTAGTTAGTTAGTTAGTTAGTTAGTAGTTAGTAGTTAGTTAGTTAGTTAGTTAGTTAGTTAGTTAGTTAGTTAGTTAGTTAGTTAGTTAGTTAGTTAGTTAGTTAGTTAGTTAGTTAGTAGTTAGTTAGTTAGTTAGTTAGTTAGTTAGTTAGTTAGTTAGTTAGTAGTTAGTTAGTAGTTAGTTAGTTAGTTAGTTAGTTAGTTAGTTAGTTAGTTAGTTAGTTAGTTAGTTAGTTAGTTAGTAGTTAGTTAGTTAGTTAGTTAGTTAGTTAGTTAGTTAGTTAGTTAGTTAGTTAGTTAGTTAGTTAGTTAGTTAGTTAGTTAGTTAGTTAGTTAGTTAGTTAGTTAGTTAGTTAGTTAGTTAGTTAGTTAGTTAGTAGTTAGTTAGTAGTTAGTTAGTTAGTTAGTTAGTTAGTTAGTTAGTTAGTTAGTTAGTTAGTTAGTTAGTTAGTTAGTTAGTTAGTAGTTAGTTAGTTAGTTAGTTAGTTAGTTAGTTAGTTAGTTAGTTAGTTAGTTAGTTAGTTAGTAGTTAGTTAGTTAGTTAGTTAGTTAGTTAGTTAGTTAGTTAGTTAGTTAGTTAGTTAGTTAGTTAGTTAGTTAGTTAGTTAGTTAGTTAGTAGTTAGTTAGTTAGTTAGTAGTTAGTTAGTTAGTTAGTTAGTTAGTAGTAGTTAGTTAGTAGTTAGTTAGTTAGTAGTTAGTTAGTTAGTTAGTTAGTTAGTTAGTTAGTTAGTTAGTTAGTTAGTTAGTTAGTTAGTTAGTTAGTTAGTAGTTAGTTAGTTAGTTAGTAGTAGTTAGTAGTTAGTTAGTTAGTCGAATGTGGTATTGATACATATACAAATCATTCTGTAAAGGTTTTTCTCCATCTCCCAAAATTAACGCCTTACTATATCAAATCGGAATCTCTACAAACAACATTTTACCATCAAAAATATATTTTTAAATAAAAATAACCTGCGGTTTCTAAAAATTCATTGGTTTAATGATTTCCTTTTTAATTTCAATATCAACAGTACTACAATACACAAGGAAATAAATAATACATCCCAACAGTATACCACCCACCATTGATTGACTTCTAATCTAGTTAAAACATCTTTCAAACTAGCAGAGAATTACCTCTTTTAGCAACTTCCCTCTCTCCCACAGCAATATTCATTAAACACATGCACGGTTAGCAATGAGTAAAATGCTGCTGTTTCAGTTGACGATGACGAAGGACCACACTTTAATATTGAGACGCTTAATCTAATCGTAAATGTTTGTCAGTCAATTGTTGAAATATGCATGATTGGGAAATTTGTTTTTATCCAGTCCATATGTTTAATTGAAGATGTATATGTGTATGTAGGTGGTGGTGATGTCAATTATGCTTTTTGTATTTAATTATTTCATTCTTTTATCATTTCTTAAACAAGTTAATAATATGATTATTTAGATAAAGAACGTGCGTAGGTGTCTTCCTATCTAAAACCTAAATGGGTTTTTATAAATGCCCTTGACTAATAAAGATAGTGTTTAATGATAATTAGAAAATTGAGTGATAATTTTTTTTCTATTAACTAATGTTATAAGCCTTTAAATTTGTAATTGTTTTATAAAACAATCATTTAACTGATTGACAAAAATTCTATCTATCTATCTATCTATCTATCTATCTATCTATCTATCTATCTATCTATCTATCTATCTATCTATCTATCTATCTATCTATCTATCTATCTATCTATCTATCTATCTATCTATCTATCTATCTATCTATCTATCTATCTATCTATCTATCTATCTATCTACCTATCTATCTATCTATCTATCTATCTATCTATCTATCTATCTATCTATCTATCTATCTATCTATCTATCTATCTATCTATCTATCTATCTATCTATCTATCTATCTATCTCTCTATCTCTCTATCTATCTATCTATCTATCTATCTATCTATCTATCTATCTATCTATCTATCTATCTAATCTATCTATCTATCTATCTATCTATCTATCTATTTATCTATCTATCTATCTATCTATCTATCTATCTATCTATCTATCTATCTATCTATCTATCTATCTATCTATCTATCTATCTATCTCTCTATCTATACCTATCTATCTATCTATCTATCTATCTATCTATCTATCTATCTATCTATCTATCTATCTATCTATCTATCTATCTATCTATCTATATGTCGAATAATCCATCTAGTTTTACATTAAATAGTCATAAGCAAATTTTCCATAAAATAATAGTAAATAATTAATTTAATGAAACATTTAATTTATACGACAACAACATTTTTCTAATTCCATATACATTAATTGTAAAACATCCAAATTTATTTTAATACAAATAAAAAATTTTCAAATTCAAAATATATCCCTTTTTACATTCAGTACCTACTTCTCAACATTCACTCCCATCTAATACAACTCTGCGACAATACAACCCTACATACTGTCATTTGCTTCATAAACTACAGCTTTCTGGCATCACTAGCATTTACAAAAAAACACCGACGCGAGTGAAAGAAAGACGTAGAAATTTTCAAGTAAACAATTTTCTCCGCAAATTTTATACAAAAAATCAAATAAAATATTAAAAATTTTACGTAAAATTACTATAATAATAAATAAAGTTATTAGTGCATGCAATCGTTACAAACAAATGTTAATATAAAGTGTTTTTAAAAGAAAAAACTAAAAGCGAAAAAAAATTTGTGAATAAATTTGAAGCATGTAGAAAAAATTGGAAGTGTCTAATAAAGTACAACAAGAAAGAAAGAGAAAGAAAATTGTGTAAAAAAATAGTGGATGAAAAAGAATATAAGATCAACAGAGATAAAACTATAAATACCTGAAGGACGTTTTGTGTGTTTTTTTGTTTTTACACACAAATATTTTATATTTTGTTTTTCATTATTATTATTTTGTGTGTTTTTATACATGTTTTTACACCTTTTCGGAGGGAAGACAAAATTTGTATATTAAGAAAAAAAGTGTTGAACACAGCTAGTATTGTTTTCCGCAAACAAGAGGAGAACGTAAATAAATAAAATAATAACATTATTTTAACAAAATTGTATTAATAAAAATTATGTAAATAGTTGTTTGTGAATAAAAGAAATATAATCCTTGGAAAATAGAAAAAAGTGTTATCATACTATTTTGTGCAAAAAGTTTCGTAAAAAACAGTCTAAAACTGGATAACATAATGGGCAGTTCGGATGATCGCGTTTACGCGGCAGAGCGTATTATACAAAAACGTATTAGAAAGGTAAAAATTTTATTAATTATTTTTCAGTATTTTTTTTTTCTTTTTTGTGATAATTAGTGAAGCTATGAAATGTCCTTGTATTTTAAAAAAAGTCCTTCAAAAATTTTCTGTGTTGCTTTAAAGATGTGCATGTATAATAGCAACAACAATTAGCCAGCACACGGAACAGTAATAATCCTCTTAACATCTGCTGGCAGCTGTTGTTGAGTTCATTCACAAAAACACAAGACAATTTACGTTGTTAGTTTTTTCTTCATTTCATTATTATTGTCTCGTGCTCCTTTTTGCTTCTTAATGTTTCATCATCTGCTGTAATTTTCTACCTTGTTTTTTATTTATTATTTCTATATGGGCTAAATGAAAAACACCTTCCTTTTCAGTAATGTTAATATCTGGAAATGTTAAAAAACGCTTAATGTAGGAAAGTATTTATACCCTACAACAGTCTATATACTAGTAGATAGAATATACAGTCGACTAGCCTCAAGACAAGTTAAACTACTAGCCTATAGAATAGTCCACAGCCTTGTCATTATTCAAATCAATAGATACCTATATCTCAAGAGTAGTCAATAGAGTTGTCAATAAAAGTGTTGTCTAGAAGAAAGCAGGGCCCAAATCATGGCATACGATATCGATCGAAATCTCCATTTAGATTTTATTGAGATTTCGATCGATATCGTATGCCATAATTTGGGCCCTGTCTATCCCATTTGTTGGGTTATTTTGCTATAGAAATATGTCCCTTTTTTTGTCTTCTTAGAGGTCAGTGTTTTAGTTCTGCATATTCTCACGACTTATTGGAAGAATGATTTGATATTGAATTCGATATTCTCTGAGCACCGATCGGTATTAAAAATAACGCGGTATTTAATTTATTGTTTGAAAAGAATATGCAGCTTTTTCAAAAACCACTTTCAGTTCCGTTTCGTTATTTGTCGAGCTAAGGGTTCTGGATTTCATCAGCTTACAATGGTATGTTTTTGTTATATCAAATCTACATAGGCCGATAGTTCTTTCCTGAATAAAAACTTTCCGTTTATACAGCTGTCGCTGTGTTGACAACCTTTGGCCGAGTATGACTCGGGTCGTTACGATAATACAAATCACGTGGGAACGTATCTGTTTTTTACATTTTGATAGCCTAGTATGTCACTAAACACAAACGTTAGTTTGTATAAAGTTGTCCAAGAATCTAAGTACTTTGACAGCTAGTCTAGTTTTCTAATAGAAGAACCTGAGATTGGCTGATTTACGTGATCGATTCATTCATTATTGAACAACATAGCCATCAGTGTATAACCACCACGCAGGTTCATTTCGAAGGAAAAGTCTCTAAGAAAGCATGGTTTGAAATGCAATATTGTCCGACGACTGTTCTACTTGAACATTGGAGTCTCAGTCGACTATTGAATATAAAATAAATTGGCCAAAGGTGCTCTCGATCTTCAACTTCCAGATGCATTAAGTCTGGTAATGTTGTGTTTAAAATCATTTCATTATATGACAATCAATTAACTATCAACAGTATAACATGCCTTGAGTAAATAATTTAAGTAAATCCAGTATAATTTGATCCCATTGTGATACTCATGCGATAATGGAGTTAGCTTTCTACACATGCTCAACAATAAGTTTATCCAAAAGCATCATATGAAGGTCAAGTTGTCCTTTAGGTGTAACAGCTGATTTTATTGTTCCAACAAATCGACGTCATCTGCCTAATGTTTTATTAATCCAAATATATATCTTAACTTAAAATGCCTACTTTATTAGTTAACATAAAATCGCTAAAATCTTTAGAAAAACTTTAAATTGACATCACTTCCTATACTTACTGTTATTATTTGTTTCTTCTTTATTTTTAAATAAAACACTAGTCTTTTTTGTCTTTTTATTTAGTTATATTTTATATATTACAATTAAATAATTATTATTTATTGTTATTTTCATACTGTCTTTTTGTGGTTGTTTTTTTTTATATATATAATATTCCATTATATTTCCAAAACAGCTGTTGTTTTTTATTAAAGGCTCCTTATTTGTGTTTGGAGTGTCTTGCAATTCATACACCTTTCGTCCTTTATTTCCACTTCATTGAATAGTATTGATAGAACAACAACAATAAGGCACGTTCTCTTCTATTAAAGTGATTCATTTAAATTGAATGCATATTTTATTCAGACTCTACCGCAAGCTAAAACGTCAGTAATAAAAATTTATAAAAATGTTTATGTTTTATGTCCTTTTTTCCATTTTAATTAATATTAGGTCCTGTTTTATGTTCATGCTGATGGCGCCGTTTGTAATATAAATACTTATTTTTTGTTATTGTTGCATAAATGTCTGCATATTTTTCCACTTCTAGTTTTCCTGGAATAATAATAGTTGGTTTTCAGCGTGTTTTTGTATTTTATCGCCTAATTTACCTGCGTAAGTTTTTGTTTGACATATTTTCTATAATGAACCTTGAGACTGATGGGTTTTTGCTTTATACTTATTAACGTTTTTCTGGAAAATTTTAAAATAAATCCATTGATTATCTTTTTGAGAATTTGTTAAGTAAAATTATTATTTGTGTAGGAATTTTCGCCAGAGGAATTTATGTTAAGAAAGTATATTGTTGGTGGATTTTCAGCGTTTTTTTTAGTAATAAAAGTATTAAATTTAATATTTCACACTGTGTGTCTAAGTAAACTATATATGTTTAGATGGAAGTGAGAATTAAAATATCTTGAAAGATCTGTAAATATTATATCGTAGATGTAAATAAGACACTCAGTTATTGCTTACTTACTTACTTACTTACTTCCTTACTTACTTACTTACTTACTTACTTACTTACTTACTTACTTTACTTACTTACTTACTTACTTACTTACTTACTTACTTACTTACTTACTTACTTACTTACTTACTTACTTACTTACTTACTTACTTACTTACTTACTTACTTACTTACTTACTTACTTACTTACTTACTTACTTACTTACTTACTTACTTACTTACTTACTTACTTACTTACTTACTTACTTACTCTTACTTACTTACACTTACTTACTTACTTACTTACTTACTTACTTACTTACTTACTTACTTACTTACTTACTTACTTACTTACTTACTTACTTACTTACTTACTTACTACTTACTTACTTACTTACTTACTTACTTACTTACTTACTTACTTACTTACTTACTTACTACTACTTACTTACTTACTTACTTACTTACTTACTTACTTACTTACTTACTTACTTACTTACTTACTTACTTACTTACTTACTTACTTACTTACTTACTTACTTACTTACTTACTTACTTACTTACTTCTTACTTACTTACTTACTTACTTACTTACTTACTTACTTACTTACTTACTTACTTACTTACTTACACTTACTTACTTACTTACTTACTTACTTACTTACTTACTTTACTTACTTACTTACTACTTACTTACTTACTTACTTACTTACTTACTTACTTACTTACTTACTTACTTACTTACTTACTTACTTACTTACTTACTTACTTACTTACTTACTTACTTACTTACTTACTTACTTACTTACTTACTTACTTACTACTTACTTACTTACTTACTTACTTACTTACTTACTTACTTACTTACTTACTTACTTACTTACTTACTTACTTTACTTACTTACTTACTTACTTACTTACTTACTTACACTTACTTACTTACTCTTGACTTTACTTACTTACTTACGTACTTACTTACTTACTTACGTACTTACTTACTTACTTACTTACTTACTTACTTACTACTTACTTACTTACTTACTTACTTCTTACTTACTTACTGTACTTACTTACTTACTTACGTACTTACTTACTTACTTACTTACTTACTTACGTACTTACTTACTTACTTACTACTTACTTACTTCCTTACTTACTTACTTACTTACTTACTTACTTACTTACTTACTTACTTACTTACTTACTTCTTACATCTCCCATTTTTATACATTTCAGGGGCATTGTGGATACCGCGTCAAGTGGAAAGGCTGGAATCAACGTTACAACACCTGGGAACCCGAAGTCAACATTCTTGATCGCCGACTCATTGAAATCTATGAACAAGGTAATAAATCTTCTAGTACTCCCTCAAAGCGTGGTCCCAAAAGGAAGGAAAAAGAACGTGATCCTGATCCCGAACCCGAATCCGATGATGAATACACCTTCACCGAAGAAGATGCTCAACCAAGTCATGCCTCAACCTCAGCGGCGGCGGTAAGCACTATTTCCGCAACAAACACAGCAAACGCAACATCCTCCTCCAATTCTGCCTCTTTAACATCCGCCTCAGCAAATAGTGGTCATAATCATCACCATTATCATCACGATAAGGATAAGGAGAAAGAAAAAGATAAAGAGAAGAAACATCATCACCACCATCATCATCACCATCACAGTTCTAAGCTAGAGCGTTCAACAAGTAGACGTTCCGAATCACCACATACACATGGCGAAAGTAAGAGGCAAAAGGAACATGCTGCAGCGAATTCCTCATCTTTAGCCTTTATACCCGAAGCAGATACGAATTCTTCTAGTTCGGAAGATCAACCATTAAGTCGAAAGGAAGTGGGTACTAAACGCAAGGCTGAAGTACTTAAAGAATCGGGTAAAATTGGGGTAACCATAAAAACATCACCAGATGGACCACCACCCGCCAAAATACATTGTTCAGTGGATACAGCTACACCCATATCCACACCACTTAAAGCTGAAACAGAACCTTTATCGCCCGAAACACCAGCCTCAAGGCCAGAGCAGGCAACACCCTCAGAAAAACCTCAACAGTATAATGCCCAAGATGATGATGACGATGAATCTTCTTCACAAGCGGAATCACAAAATGAAACTGAAAATAATAACATTCATCACAATAACAACAACAACAATAACAATAGTAATAATAACAACAATAACCAGCGTCAACAGCATTTCGATAATAATTTGGAAAATTCACCGCCTAAACAAAAATCACAACAACCCCTAACACCTCTCTCCCCGCAAGCTTTACCGCCCCGCTTCTGGTTACCCGCCAAATGTAATATTTCCGATAAGGTAGTTATCACCGATGTTACGGTAAATTTTGAAACTGTTACCATTAGAGAATGTAAAACCGAAAGAGGCTTTTTTCGTGAACGCGATATGAAAAGTAGTGATTCTGTAGCCTAAACACGAAACAGAAAACAAACAAAGAATGTTTGTTAGAACATGGCCAAAAGTTAAGGATTAAAAGATTGCTAAAAACAAATTAACAAATTCCTAAAAGGCACTTAATGAGACTAAATTGTAACTGAATGTAAAGCAGGACTTTAAAGTTCAAAATTTGCCATTTTGTATACAAAATATTTATTTTTCTAAGCAAATTTTGAATTTAAGTTTTAAAGAAAAACATTTTATTTTTTCTCCTTTTCTTGATTTTTTTTTTGGCGCTTTATAAATCAACCAAACAGAGTTATATTTACTCTTATGAAGAAAGAAAAGTTTGTTGCCTATATGTAAGTGTAAATATATACCAGAAAATAACTAGCAAGTAAATATTTACAAAAGTATATTATACGAATTACAACATTTATTAAAAAAAAGAAAAAAGAAAAGAAACCTAAAAGTATATTTTTGTAGTGCTTGAAAAAGTAAAAAAAAAACAAAAACAAAACTAAAAACATTCTTGAAAATTAAAAATTTATGAAGCTCTTTATAAAACGATATTATTATCTATATATTTAGATATACAACTTAACTTTAAACTTAAACCTTGATATTTATAATCATACCTTTTATTATTTGCTATTGTTTAAAAACTTAAAACTATTAAATTAAAAAAAAACAAACAAATTGTTTAAAATATTAGAAGATTTCTTTGAATATTAGTTTGTTGTAGTGAATAATAGTTTTTAGTTTTTAAACAAAACTTTTTTATTAGTTATATTTTATATAATTTTTTTTTTTTTTTGAATTTTTATTTCATACTTTTGTGTACATAATTTTATACCCTCTTTTTTTTTTTTTTTTGATATCCATTTACAACTTTAAGTTGTATTTAACATTAAATTTGTTTATTAAACTCTTAATTTAAAGAGTTTTTATTCTAAATTATACCAAAAATTATTTCTAAATACAAACACCAATATATTAAAAAAAAATAATTGATTTTCTTATTAAATCTTCTGAATGCCTTTCTTTTGCATCATTAAATGTTTAATATAATAAGGTCCATACCTCTTAAGGCCAAGAAATTGCGTTTTAACTTCTAGACTATCCACCTGCAATAGATGCTTTATAAAATTATTGTAATTTTGTTTATTCAAAAAGCAAAATTTTATTCTTTTTGTACAATATGAATACGATATTGGTTAATGTTAATACTTTAATTGTATTAGGTAATATTTAAACTACCTTAAATTAAGGCTAATAACACAAATTATTAATATTTGTTTATAGTATTTCATAAGATCTTTTAAAACATTTTATTAATTTTTATATCAAGTAATTTGTACTTAAAAATTTCAACTCACTTTGTAATCTTTTGACTAGTCTATTGACATGTTTATGAAGTAGTCTATTAAAGGGTCTATACTAGTTTATTGATAAATCTATAGACAAATTTATTATCAAGTCTATAGACTAGTTTATGGACTAGTCTATTGGCAAGTCTATGGACTAGTCATTAACAAGTTTATTAACCAGTCTATTAAAGAATCGATGGAATAGTGTATTGATAAGTCTATGAAGTAGTCTATTGATTAGTCTTGTTAAGTCCACGGCCTAGTCTATTAACAAGTTTATAAACTAGTATGTAGATTAGTTAATTGACAAGTCTATGAACTAGTATATTGATGAAGCTAAGGACTTGTCTATTAGCAAATCTATTACCCATGTCTATAAAAGAATCGATGGAATTGTGTATTGATAAGTCTATCAACTAGTCTATTGAGATGTCTATTGTTTAGTCTTGTTATGTCTACGTCCTAGTCTATTAACAAGTTTATAAACTAGTCTATTGATAAAGCTAAGGACTAGTCTATTGACAAGTCCTTAAACTAGTCTCCTGACAAGTCTTTAGACTATTCTATTAGGAAATCTATTATTTAATTTATTAGCAAGTCTATATAATAGTTAATTGACATGTCAATGGACTAGTATATTGACAAGTTTGTAGACTAGTTATATACAAGTTTATAGACTAATCTATTGACACGTCTAGAGACTAGTTTATTGGCCCGTCTCGAAGCTAAACTATGGATTAATCCATTTACAAATCTATGAACTAATAATCTATTAGTTAGTCTATGAACTAGTCTATGGGCTAGTCAATTGAAAAGTCTATTCACCGTGCATTGATTAGTATATTAACAAGTTAATTGACAAGTCTATGAACTAGCCTATTGACAAGTCTAGTATATATACAAGTTTATAATTTAGTCTATTAACAAGCCTATAGACTAGTCCATTAAAAAAGCTATTGACAAGTCTAGAGACCACTTAATTAACAGACTACACTATTGACTATTAGCTATTATATGGACTATTCCATGAACAAGTCAATAGACTAGTCCAAATTGTTTCAATCTTTTAATTTTCATTCAATCCTGATACGACTATAATATTGCTGACAAGTCTGTAGATTAGTATATTGATGAGTCTAGAGACTAGTTTATTGGTCGGTCTACAAACTAAACTATGGATTAATTCATTCACAAATATATGAACTAATCTATTAGTAAGTCTATGAACTAGTCTATGGGCTAGTCAATTGAAAAGGCTATAAACTAGTCTATTCACCGTGCACTAACTAGTCTATAAACAAGTTAATTGAAAAGTCTATGAACTTCCCTATTGACAAGTCTAGTTTATAGATTGGTCTATTGACAAGTCTATGGACTAGTCCATTGAAAATGCTATTGACAAGTCTACAGACTATACAATTAACTATACTACAAGCTATTATTGGTTCTATTCCACTAACAAGTCAGTAGACTAGCCCAAATTGTTTCAATCTTTGAATTTTCCTTCAATCCCCATATACGACGATATAAATCTGTAAATGCAATATACAACAAATTTCTTATATTAAAAGGTTATCTTTGAGATTTAACTCCGAAAATAACCTTTCAAATGATAAATTTAAAATGTTAAACTCTATATTATTTTTAGCTTCAGTTGAAAAATTTCCCAGGAAAAATTTTATGATTATAACCAGTACTCCTTCTAGTTTAGAATTGAGACTAAAGTAATTAAATACAAATTTTGTCACCTTTAGAACTAGTTCTGTGACAGCGTTATCAAGAAAGACACTCATTTTTGGAACTATACTGAAGCTAGTTATAATTTGTCAGCTACAGAACTAGTTTTAAAGGAATCTTTAGAGAACTAGTTCTTTTACAGAGATTTTTGTGGGAAATTCTTAAGATTGGGAACAATTTTGGGAGATAGAACCTGTTCCAGATGTAAAGCCAAAATCATTAGTTCAAAGGATGTTGTTTAAGTTTTCAAAGTGGTTGCATTTGCAGCCGTTCTAGAAGGAACGAAATCTAAAATTTTTCCTGGGTTAAAATAATTTATGTTGAGAATTTCCCATTCATTATAATAATTCTTTGCAGAATAAAGCATTTTTATTATTTAACTAACTATAACCAATATTAACATTGCTTTTTAATGTTGGATATGCGTTGAAAACAAAACTACCATCAATATGTATTTACTTTAGAAATTTTTTGCAATTTTTCCTTAATAATTTTTTAGAATTCTAAAATATACATTATTTAACTTATAAAATTTTAAATTAAAATGCTAAAATTATATTGCTTTTAATTAAACAACAAAATTATAACATTGTGTAGCTAAAATAAAAATCAAAATAGAGAAATAAAGCAATATTTCTAAGGTGTCTTAAGTTTAAATTAATTAAAGATTTGCCAAATAGTTGCTTTAAAAAAACATGCAATCAAGAATCACAGCAATTAAGAAAAATAATTATAAATTTAAGAAACAAATCTAGCAATCATTTTCACCAACACCTTAGCAGTATAGCAAACAAATAAAATCCCAAATATTAAACAATAAAGCATTAAATTTTTATTAAAATTTATGTTACAAAAACAAACTTAAAACAATTTAAAAGAAAATCAGTATAAAACATAAAAATCTAAAAGAATTACACAACCTTTTGCAAAAAAAAAAAAAAAAAAAAAAAAAATATAAATTAAATTAATTGTTAAATTGTAGTTGAAACTCAAGAAAATCAATAATTATTATTAAACAAAAAAAAAAAATACATAAATACTTGTGTCAAAGATTATAAAATATGTAATGTAAAACATACATCAAAGTAAAATTCAATATTAAAATACCTACTTACATATATATTTTAATACATAACCATATTAAAAGCATCTAATCTACAAACATTAAAAAAATAACAAAACAAAAAAAAAACACCCAACACCAATTATAATGAAAATCATAAAAAATATAAATTATGAAAAAAAACAACAAAAAATTATATATTTTTAAAATTATACCTCTTGCTTGTTTGTTATTCAAATATATAAGTAATATTTATTAATTTTTAAGTATACTTGTGTTATTTATGTATTTCACAATTATTATTATTGTAAATATTTTATTTAATTGAAAAAAAAAAAAAGTAAAACAACAAAACTATTTTACATTTTAACATGATTTAAGTAATATTTTAAAACAATAAAATATAAGCTGGAATAAATAACAAGAAAATAATTGTAGTTTTATTTATAAAATACTTGAAATTACTTAAATTTCCGTTAAAAGTAGTTTAAAATTGTTTTAAAATATCACAAACTTGGCAGCACTGTTTCAGTGTTCTAAAAGCGCCATCTATTGTTTAGTTTTGGCTCATGGCAAAAAGCAAAAAATCGATGTGGCAACATTTCGCTAATTTTGGTACCCCGTTAACAAAAACGATCTGGTAGCACTGGCAATTTTTTGAAATTTTGCTAGAGTTGCCAGATTGTTTTTGTTAACGTGGTACCAAAATTAGCGAAATGTTGCCACATCGATTTTTTGCTTTTTGTCATGACCCAAAACTAAACAATAGATGGCGCTTTTAGAACACTGAAACAGTGCTGCCAAGTTTGCGATATTTTTATTCAAATTTAACGGAATTTTGAGGTATTTTAACTAATAACTAAAAAAAACTTTAATAAAGCTGCCAAAAAATTTAAGATTTATAAAAATTTATTTCATTTTATTAAATTAGTTACTTATTAATCGATGTTAAATATTATATTCTATTACTTGATGGTATATTTTATATCTAGAGGTGATATAGACAGCAGGATAGATTTAAAAAGTATTACGCGTACAAAGATTGTGGTTAAATCTGTAATGAAGAAGAAAATAAATAATAAGATTTTAATTATACAATTTTATGTTCATTTCTTCATTAATAACACAAAAATTGAAACAAAAATAGATCATAGAATAAGAATTAATAAATTAAGGAATTTAGAGTTAAGGTTAAGGAAACTTAATGTTACAGAAATGTAATGAACAGTTGTGAAATTATTATTACTTCGACGAATATTATTAAAACAAAATACATAACATTGATCTGGAGGTTTTTGCATTTCAATTCGAAAATTTTAAATTAATGGTTTTTGGTGAAGAAGCTGTTCTTTAATATGAATTCTGATGTGCTAATGATCATTAGCTGTTAATAAATTTAATATATATAATATATCACGTACTCTTGGAATAATTGACTTACTCCGAAGCATTGTCGACATATTTCATACAGAGATGCCTGGCTTAGAACACACATAATTTGTACATACATATTAATTTTAGGAAATACATACTTATTTTATAAAAAACTTGCATTTGCCAAATTCTTTTTATTTTAGACTATCAAGTAGACTGTGTTTATACTATCACTTCGTGTTACTACTAGCTCAGTAAGTACACTTTCTAAGGCGTAATTGGCTATACACCACTTTTATAACGTCAGAATGACACTCTGCACAATAGATTACAGTAAAGTGACATGGAACAACAGACACAATGGCTACTGGTTCTATAAAGAACGTGTTATCCCAACGGAATGTTTTGCATGTGGATGGGCTCCTCATAATACACTTAAAACATATGCAACTGCCTAGCAAACTACAATGAACTTATGGATGAATGTAAAAATTGCGCAATATTAAGTCTTGGAACTCAATGCAAAATCTTTTTATAGATTATGGCTCGAAGCTTGTCAACAATATTTGTAGAAATTACCATCTTTTAGGGTTGCATTGGATCATCTGCTGAGATTTTGAAGATTATGTGAAAGAAAATACAAAGTTTGAATCAATAAAATATTGCAAATTCTTTTTACAAAGTCTAATCGGAACAGTTTTAATTCTAAAGTTATTTTTTATTCGATTATGATCGATCTTTTAGTTTGGTTTTTTTTCATCTATCTATCTATATAAAAAAAAATCAATTGTCGTTCGTTGGTAATTGCATCAGTTGAGAACGGCTAGACCGATTTGGACAATTTTTTTACTGAAATGTTCGTCATAGTCCAACTTACGTTTTACGCACACTTTTTTCGATTTATCTAAAATCGGAAAACGGCTGCACCGATTTGGTTAATTTTTTATTTAAATGGTCGTAGTAATCTAATTTAAGTTTTTACTGAAAGAAAAATTTACCACGCCCACTTTTTTCGATTTATCTAAAATCGGAAAACGGATGCACCGATTTGGCTAAATTTTTTAAAACATGTTCATAGTAATCAAATTTAAAGTTTTACTGAAAGAATAATTGACCACGCCCACTTTTACGCTCACTTTTTTCGATTTATCTAAAATCACAAATCGAACATAAACATTTTTTCTAATTTGGACAGGACAACGTCTGTCGGGTCAGCTAGTTTATTCATAAAAATTTTATCGGGATGAAGTAACAGTCGCTTACAGATCATGCCGTACCTATTAAATTCGTTTTACAAAGTCCAGGCGGAACTGAATTTAGAAACTCCGTATTATGGCTTTGTCAAAGCTCATCTCAAACGACTGAGATGAAACAAATTGTATGACATTTTGGCCACACAATTTGGTCCACAACGTAAGAGACAATAAAATATTGGAAATTTGTTTTACAAAGTCCAATAGGAATAATTTTAATTCCAATTTCGTTTTTCCAAAATCGTTTTTATCTCACTTATTCACAAAAACATAAAAATTTTATAAACCCAAATGATTATCAAAGATGCCCAATATTCGGAATGCTCTTTTTCAAAGCATTTGTTTTTAAACTACATTGCAAAACTATACCACAATATGTATTTTAGCCATTTATGGACTGATTTTCAAAAACACTATTCGGAATACTGTTTCCTTAAACCTTCTTAAAAAACACACTGAATTTTGAAAAAAAAGAACTCTACCGATGCCAGTGGAGTTACAAATGAGATTTTTTCCTGAAAGTCTTGCGAAACCTAATTTTTACAATTTGGAAAGTACAAGTCAACTAGAATCAACAAATTAAATGAACTGCATTCCATTTCAAGGCACTTTTAACTGATAATTATTCAAAGTTAAGAAATTTTCACTTTTTTATTTGCCGCAATCTTTCTACAATTGCAATTTTTTTCAACTACTTACCGCATTGAAAGCAGGCTACCAATTTCTTTGTCCAGTTATTTTACAGCATATAAATAAAATTGCACTTCTTATTTACAGATTTTTATAAAAATTTATAATAAATTTAACAAATTTAACACTTAAAAATTAAATTTTATTAGATAGACCTCCTTTTTGCGTTGAAATCTTTGCTGATGAAAATGAAGCACAGAGTTGCATTTTATTTAAAGAGATGCCATATCGTACATAAACAAACTCAAAGTGTGGCCAAATAACTACCAATAGTCAATAGTAATAAAAAACACAATTTCATTAAAATGTTTTATTTATTTTAGATTAAATATATATTTTTTTGTATTTATTTATATCTTTTTATTTATTTTTGGCATATATATTATACTCTTCTTGTTGTTGTTATTATTTTGACAATTATGTTGTTTTATATGTTTTTTTTCTTTATGTAATAATTGTTGTAGGTTTTTAGTTTTATAAAGTGTATAAGTGTTTTTGTTTTTGTTGTTCTTGTTTTCTTGTGATATCAATTATCCCTTTATAATAAGGATAAAACAGTTTCATATTTAGTAAAACTAAAAAACGTTCAGCTAACAATTATTTACCAAATAATTTTTAAATTTTTTTTGTTTATAAAAATTTAAAAATAATAAGAGTTAATAGTAAGACCATTTCCCTTTTCTATGCTTAAATTGTTAATAACAATTTTGCCATTCTAGCTTAGATAATTTTCCCCAAAAAAACAAACTATTTAATAGTTTTGTTGTTATTTTTTTCTTGTTTGTTTAACTCTAACTTTCCTATATATTTAATTATATAAACCAATGTTTATTTTTTTCCATCATTATTGTTATAATATTCCTTGTTGTTGGTTTTTTCTTGTGTGTTTCTGTTAAATGTATTTAATTGTTTAATTATATGTTTTTGTAATTGTTTTCTTAACTAAAAATATTAAGAACTAAATTGTATGTATGTAATAACAGTTATTTTTTTTTTTTAATTTAAACCAAATTATTTAGGATTTATTAAAAAAATATCCAGTTTAACTTAATTTTTATTATTTTTTTAAATTTATATTTCTTTTTTTAATTATTTTTATTAATTAATGTTAATTTGGCATTTTTTATGTTAAATATTGGTATTTACTTATTTCGGTTTTTTTTTCCAAAATTTTAAAAATTTTCTTAATATTTTTTAGGTTATATTAAAAAAACTATGTTATGTTTGTGGTTTTTTTTTTTTTTTTTTAATACTCAATAAAAAAACTTAATTCATTATAAATTAATAATTATAAATTCGATCAAGGTGTTTTTAGCATGTTTTTTTTTTATTAGATTATAATTTCAGAAAAATTTTGAGTTTTAAATTATTTTGTTTTAGGTTAAGACTAGCTAAGTAATGGATTTTTTTTTAAGTTAAGTATTATGAGTTAATGAGTAAAATTATAAATTTTGTTTAAATAATTTAATAAATTTATTAGATGACTTACTACTGGGTGTTGAAATTGTAATTTAATTCAAAACAAAATGTTTATTTAAAATTTTGACTTCGATTAATGAGCTTAACTGTAAGGACTCAGGGCTTTATTGTGCTATTTTCGAATAGATGCTTTTTGCACTCAAATCAATTTACCGGTTGCCTTACAAGTATTCAGTCTCAGCATCAACTATAATAGGACCTCAAGGGAAATTGGTGTTAAATGCCTTTTTTGAACGAATTTTTTAGGTTATTAAGCTAATTATTGCGTATTTCTTTTAAAAAGAGGACTATTGTAAAATTTAATGTGTAAATTATAAAACGAATCAAATAAACCGTAAAAAATTATGGTTCTTAAACAGGAAACATCAATTATAGACCGATCGAAAAAGAATTCATTGGAAACTGTATAATATAAAATCTTAGCGTAATATCAATACTTCTGTTCAATTTATTAAAGTATAACTGACATTCTCAAGGTCTCGCCATTTTGGGTTTTAAATACATATAACTTTATAGGGGAACTAGACGAAATTATGAATCGACCTATCGACCTTTAAAAAGGGGTACTTGAAAAGATTCGAGAATTTATTAAATATAAATTCCATAAAAAATTGACTTTACCATTATTTACCAAAAAATGGACGATATCTGGTTTACGCACTATTTATCGAACTAGTCTAGAGACTAGCTTACTGAACAGTATATTGACTAGGCTATTGATTATTCTTTTGACTGGTTCATTAACTAATCCCAAAGGGAGTATAAAACAAATCTATATAGTAGTCTATTGACTAATCTATGGAATAGTTCATGGGCTATTTTATGGATTGGTTTTATAACATTTTTTATAACTTAAATGGATGATATCTCAAAAACTACTTTTCGGATTCACAAGAAAAAAACTTTCGAAACACAATATATTAAACATACAAATTCGAAAATGTTTGCTTTCGAATCGAGTTACAGAGTAACCTCCCTAACATATAATTTTGTTGAAAAACAATAGGCCAAATGTAGCGAAAAATCGTATATTTTGGAATTTATAATTGTTTCAAACTTAAGATGAAGATATCTGTAAGTAACAGCAGGATATAACCTAAGTTAAACCTTAATTTTGAAGCCATTATAAAGGATCTTCAGGTGACAAAATAAATTTTTATAAATATATCTATAAATACAAAAACATCTGACATGGTGCCGTAAATAACGTCTTGAATATGCAGCATCTCAAACTTTAGACCAAAATCTACCGAAAACTTCATGATGTAATCAAATTCTGAGGTCAGATTCAGACTAAACTCTGCTTAGAGCAGAGTTCTTTGTTTAAACCTAGTTTAATCTATATTTTGTGTTTTTCAGTAATCAGTTACGTTACTTATTATCTGAGTTTAACCGAGTGTTATTGGCCAATTAAAACCTATGTTATAATTGAGAAAACAAAATGAACAAAAACATAAAATAATCAATTCGGAAGAAGAAAAACTTAATTTTTTAAGTAAATAGTAATTTTTTGGATTTATTTTTTTTAAATTATTAGTGTTTTAAATGTTTATTTTCATATTTTCTAAAATTTTTCATTTTACAAAAGTAATATTTGCAAAAAACAGCTGTTCTTTGTTTATGTTTTTGACTGAAAAGTTGGCAATACTAACAAAGTTAACCGCTCTTAAATTCATAACTGAAAAACACAATCATCAATTAAAGTCCTCCTAAATTAGTTCCGGTTTCAATCTAACAGCAAGTTTAGATTATCCTTAAATTCTATGTAATGTCTGTCCGTGTTTAAAAGTCAAGAGGCAAACAAATTGTTAAATTTTCTTTTCAAATGTAAAAAATATAAAAATTTCTAGAGATTTGGCTCTATATGTTTTAAAATTTAAATAATTTAGTTAAATATTTAGTAGTTAATAGTTTTAGAGGGTGTGTGTGTATGTATGTATGTATGTATGTGAAGGTGACATGTAGATAAAGTATTTAAGTTTCTTTTTCTTTTTGGAGGCATTATATTTTATATATTGAGTTGTGACTGTGTACTATATCATTAATTTGTCTTTTAACTATTTTAAGTATTTGTTTAAATACATGTATAATATCAACATTATGTTTTATTTATTAATATTTTAGTTTAATAATTTGTTTGTCTTACTATAACAATATCAATTACTGTGGGTAGTTTGCCTTTTTTTTTTTAATAAATTTTTAAAGTGCTGTTTGTTTTTGAAAAATTAACAAAATTGAAAGAAATTAAAAAGAAAACAAAAATTTTATTTATGTTTTTTTTTTAAGTATTTATATATTTTTTAAATATTTCATTTTTTAATATAAATTTAACATTATTTTTTTTTTATTGATTTTCTTTTTTAAATTTTTTGGGTTAGTTTTCAAAACAGTTTAACTATTTGTTTGTTTCATTTATTATAAACCAGACTTATTATTTGTTGTGTTTTTAAACTTGTTTTTCTTTTTATGTTTAAGTATTTTTATTACTTTTAGTTTTAAACTTATGTTTTAGTAAGGTTTTTAATAAAATGTCATTTTTTTGTTTGAGTGGGGTTTTTTAAGGACTTTTTTTTTATTTTAATGTTTAATAATAATTTTTATATTTGAATTTTTATAAAAAAAATTGCTTTTTTGAATGTTAACATTTTGTTTTTTTATTTTATTTTTTTTTCTCAACATTTTTTAAAATTGTTTTGCTTTAATAATTATTTGGTTTTTTATGTACTAAATAAAAAAATGTTAAGGAAATATAATAAAAAAAACTTTAATATTTTTTATCTTAAATATAAAAAATAAAAACTTAATAATAGCAAAGGTTAATGACTTAATTTCAAATCTTCCAGTTTGTTCGTTTTGTTAACTTAAAAACAAATAAATAAAATATAATTTAAATATATAAAAAAAAGTATAAAAAATAATAAAATTTACAACTGTACAATTAAAACTTTTTTAAATTAAAAAAAAAATAAACAAATTTTACATAATAAACAGTTATAGCGAATATATTTTTACTTTTAAAATTTAAAATAATTAACAATTCTTTTAAACAACAATTATATAATTGACATTTCCAATATATTTAGAAATATTTTGTACAAATAAAACAAATTTTTACACAGAGCGATAGAAAAAGAGTGAGAGAGATAGAACAGTTTTAGAGAGAAACGAAATTTTTTTAAAATAAAAAAAAACTGAGATTCCTTAATATTTTCTTAGCAAATTTAAATTTTCAATAAATTTACGAACTAACACCACCATTTTCGGTATGTTCTAATACCGTATAGGTTTCGGTAAGATCAGTGCCGGTTAATTGTAAATCTCCTGTAGAATGAGCCGATTGTGTGGTTTTGTGTGTGGGCGACTGATTGGGTGTGGAGGCGGTACTTTTGGGTTTTCTAAACCAATTACCTAAACGTCTGCGTCCCAAAGAACCTGTCTGATTATCATTCACCTGACCACTCGACGTAGTATCTAGTCTTTGTGTCTTTTTATGCGGTAAAGTATCACTATATTTAAAGGATTTGGCTGGTGACTCAGGCACCGATGATTCACCTGAAGTATTTGTATTATTGCCGGTATTTAAATTGGTTTCATATAAAAATTCTTTTAATTTCTGTTCACCACTATCACCGCCCTCATAATCCGATTGATCGGAATAATCTCTTTCCTCGAAAGCATATTCAAATCCTGTCATTTCTGATATATACAAGGACTTGCCTCCAAATTGACGCTCCAAGGCTAGGGTATTCAAAAATCTATGCTTACGATTGGCTGAACGAAAACTAAAATCAAACCATTTATCTCTGGCCTCACAGTAAATCCTTAGGGAATTTTTAATGGTATGACCAAACATTTTACCATCTCTTACATTCACCACACGACATCTATCCAAAAATATGCGTCCTTTATAGATAAAATTAGATCTCTTGATAATGTCTCGCTTACAATACACCAATTGGTTATCGAAGAGAAATAGAGTGCAACTACTATTCCAAAGATTTTGTTTCTGGCGCGTGGCATCGATTTGTACAAAGAAACGTGTACTGTGTAGGTGTAGCGGAGGTCCTTTGAAATTTTGAAAACTAGCCTGATGACGTGCTATTGTCTCACTATGACGTTTGCCTTCATTAACAGCTTCGGTAACAGATTTCATGGCTTCTAGAGCCATATCAATGGTCTCCGTGGTATCGGGTATATCCAATTGACTAACATCGATTTGTTCATATTCATGGAGAGCGAATGCTGGTGGTTCTGCACCCTTGGCCGAACTTTTAATCATTTCTCCCAAGTGCAAAGGATAGCGGCAAATGCGTTGCACTGGTGCCAACAAATGAGCGGAGAGGGGTAATTCAGCTAAATTTTCCAATTCTCGACAACTGTAAGAAGGTAAGAGATAGAAGAGTTGGAGGGAGTTAGTAGAGTTATAAATTCAGTATTCACATATTCATTTCTACAAAAAAAGTATATAAAAATTGAACTTACTTATCCAATATTGTGCGAGCATCTTTAACTCTCTCATAGGAAGCCAATTCAATTAAGGCCCGGGGATATGAATTGCAATATGTTGAATAACATAAGAATCCCTTATGCTGTAAATAATATAAAAAAAGGATTCCTTAGAAATAATATTCCATATTTTCTTGAAATTAACAACTTACCATTTTCAAAAATACTTTAGCCACCTGATTTTGTTCGATGCCCTTGCGTAAGGCTTCTAAAAATTTACGTTGAAACTTATAAATCGCTGTTATATTGGAGAAAATCAAACGTATACTATTGGGTGAAAAGATATCGATACGTTTGCTCATAGCAGGCAAATAACTAAAACACGAAAAAGAAAATAAAATTAGAAATTTATTTATAAAATTTAAATTATTTCCATCCAACTTACCCCTCACATATGGCCGACAATAATTTCACATAATTAACTTCCGTATCCAATAGTTCTTTAACAGCACTTCGACGCAACAAATCGGCACTATCCATAATGACATTAAGACTTTGAGATGTCGATAGAATGGCTTGTGTGCTGTTAGTATTGGCTGTTAAGGTTGTTGTTGTATTATTGACTGTTGCAGCATCATTATTAGACGTATTAGTTGCTAGGCCCACAAAATGAGGTGTCGAGGTCGTCGTCAATGATGAGGGTGGTGATGATGATGATGATTCAATTACAATGGTTGTGACATTATGCTGATCAATTACGGTGGTATTACAATTATCTTCCATGCTGCTGTTGCTATTGTCAAGTGCACAAGGAGCACTTGATGATGTATTCAATGTATGATTTCCGCTTTGCGAATTATTCTCATTAAATTCATGACTTAGCTGGTTTGCTGTGTTCTGTTGTTGCTGTTGCTGCTGTTGTTGTTGTTGTTGCTGTTCGGCCATGTGTTGCAGATAGAAGAAATCCGTTTCGGGCGAATGTATAACACGTACAAACTCTTTTGGGAACCAACCCAATTCAGGATCTAATATTTCCTCCACTAAACTGGCATCTTCTTTTTTAATGCGACCAAACCACCAGGGACCAATTTCTTTACGTAGTATTTCAATTAATGTACCCTTTTCTAAGCCCAACTCTTGTGGTCCGGCTGCAGTAAAATTGTATAATACTTCAGCATAAATGGGATAATAACTGGATGCTAAAATTAATAAACAAAATAAAAGAGCAAAACTATTAAAATCAATATTATATTGTTTTTTATTGTCTTTTACTATGAACTTTAACCTTTCAGTTATTTAAAGGTGGCAAGGTGTTTAATGTATTGTAAACTGTTGTTTGCAGTTTTTTTAATTATTTTTCTATTCTTTTTTTTCTAGATTTTATTTATTTACCTTCTTCATGTGATGTTACACTATCACTGTCACTATCGTCCAAATCGTTGCGTGTCATACCACAAGACTCTAGACCATTGGGTTGACTTATAGAACGTGTGGGTAATGACTCGGGTGCTTCTCTCTCATTATGCATGTCCATGCGTTTTAGTATATTTACTTTGCTCGAATGTGTGGTCGATGCAGAAGTATTTTCATCTATTATTGATGTCACTTTGGCGGAATTGGTTCGTCGTACGGCACGTACACGCAGGGAACTCTGAAGAATGGGAAAAAGAGAAGGAACATATTAAATATTTAATAGATTTAAAGGGGTTTCGGCTTAAATAACAGAACTAGAACTGAACTAGAACTGAACTAGAATTGAACTAGAACTGAACTAGAACTGAACTAGAACTGAACTAGAACTGAACTAGAACTGAACTAGAATTGAACTAGAACTGAACTAGAACTGAACTAGAACTGAACTAGAACTGAACTAGAACTGAACTAGAACTGAACTAGAACTGAACTAGAACTGAACTAGAACTGAACTTGAACTGAACTAGAACTGAACTAGAACTGAACTAGAACTGAACTAGAACTGAACTAGAACTGAACTAGAACTGAACTAGAACTGAACTAGAACTGAACTGAACTAGAACTGAACTAGAACTAAACTAGAACTAAACTAGAACTGAACTAGAACTGAACTAGAACTGAACTAGAACTGAACTATGAATTGAACTAGAAAATTGAACTAGAAACTGAACTAGAACTGAACTAGAACTGAACTAGAACTGAACTAGAACTGAACTAGAACTGAACTAGAACTGAACTAGAACTGAACTAGAACTGAACTAGAACTGAACTAGACTGAACTAGAACTGAACTAGAAGAACTAGAAACTGAACTAGAACTGAAACTAGAATTGAACTAGAATTGAACTAGACACTGAACTAGAACTGAACTAGAACTGAACTAGAACTGAACTAGAAACTGAAACTAGAACTGAACTAGAACTGAACTAAGAACTGAACTAGAACTGAACTAGAACTGAACTAGAACTGAACTAGAACTGAACTAGAAACTGAACTAAGAACTGAACTAGAACTGAACTAGAACTGAACTAGAACTGAACTAGAACTGAACTAGAACTGAACTAGAACTGAACTAGAACTGAACTAGAACTGAACTAGAACTGAACTAGAACTGAACTAGAACTGAACTAGAACTGAACTAGAACTGAACTAGAACTGAACTAGAACTGAACTAGAACTGAACTAGAACTGAACTAGAACTGAACTAGAACTGAACTGAACTAGAACTGAACTAGAACTGAACTAGAACTGAACTAGAACTGAACTAGAACTGAACTAGAACTGACTAGAACTGAACTAGAACTGAACTAGAACTGAACTAGAACTGAACTAGAACTGAACTAGAACTGAACTAGAACTGAACTAGAACTGAACTAGAACTGAACTAGAACTGAACTAGAACTGAACTAGAACTGAACTAGAACTGAACTAGAACTGAACTAGAACTGAACTAGAACTGAACTAGAACTGAACTAGAACTGAACTAGAACTGAACTAGAACTGAACTAGAACTGAACTAGAACTGAACTGGAACTGAACTAGAACTGAACTGGAACTGAACTAGAACTGAACTAGAACTGAACTAGAACTGAACTAGAACTGAACTAGAACTGAACTAGAACTGAACTGAACTAGAATTGAACTAGAACTGAACTAGAACTGAACTAGAACTGAACTAGAACTGAACTAGAACTGAACTAGAACTGAACTAGAACTGAACTAGAACTGAACTAGAACTGAACTAGAACTGAACTAGAACTGAACTAGAACTGAACTAGAACCGAACTAGAACTGAACTAGAACTGAACTAGAACTGAACTAGAACTGAACTAGAACTGAACTAGAACTGAACTAGAACTGAACTAGAACTGAACTAGAACTGAACTAGAACTGAACTAGAACTGAACTAGAACTGAACTAGAACTGAAACTAGAACTGAACTAGAACTGAACTAGAACTGAACTAGAACTGAACTAGAACTGAACTAGAACTGAACTAGAACTGAACTAGAACTGAACTAGAACTGAACTAGAACTGAACTAGAACTGAACTAGAACTGAACTAGAACTGAACTAGAACTGAACTAGAACTGAACTAGAACTGAACTAGAACTGAACTAGAACTGAACTAGAACTGAACTAGAACTGAACTAGAACTGAACTAGAACTGAACTAGAACTAAAAATATTTCTATTATTAAATTTAGATCCTTAAAATTGTTATAAAACTTACCATTCCTTCTTGTTTTCTATTAAACAAACTGCCATTAAGATTGGCAACACTACTGCCACCAGCCGCCAAAACTCGAGCAAATTGTTCATCATTCTCTAATTCAATTTGTATGCCCGAATCACCACTGTTACATTTATCACGACGATTATATTTTGTTTTACGTCGTTCCTTTGATGTACGCCATACTAAGGGGCCAAATCTATATTTATTACTAACAGCCGTATTGCTACAGCCATCTGTAACATCCGTTTGCATTTCTGTATCGCCGGCCATTAGAAAGGCAGAAGAGTCTGAAACTCCTGCTGCTGCTGCTGCTGTTGTTGTTGTTGAGGTGTTTGGAACTGATGTAGTTGCTGGTGTTTGATTTGTGGCATTGACTGACGGTTGATGTTTGTTGAAATTGGTTAATGTGCGTTTGAATTTCTGTAAAACTCCAACATTTTGTGTTGAACTGGCTGAGGAGGAGGATGAGGTGGAGGCGGCAGTATTATGTTGGTTAGTGGTTTGGCAATCCTCATGACTAGTTGTGGTATATGATGAATTACTAGATGGTACTCTTTGGTGTTCGGGGACATTATTGTTGGCTGTTGCTGTTCCTGCTGGGGTAGTAATATCAGAGGTTAGGGATGGACTTGAAACTGCACGAATTTGATGAGACTGCAATCAAAAGAGAGAAAATGTTAAAATAATTTTAATAAATTTAAGTTAAATTTTTATTTTATTTAGGTATAAGGATTTATGTCTTGTTGTTATTATTGTGTTTTTTTTTTATTTCTTGTCTTGTCTTTTTCCTATTTTATTTTTGTAAATTGCATTCATGGGGATTTAATAACTATCAAGTGATTTCAATTGGGTTTCTTTTGCTAAACAAAGCAAATTTTTATATAAAAAAGAAAAGTCATGCAATTGATGGATTAGTTGTGTGTGACAGTCAATCATTTATATTTTTATTGTTGATTTTAAGTTTTCTAATCGAATTTTTTAGAAAAAAGTTGGTGAAAACTTTTTCTAATTAATAACCCATAAACATTGAGCAGAATTACTTTTAAACAATAGAACTTAAATAAGTTCTTTATAAGGTTAATTGGTTAAAAAACTGATTAAATAATTAGTTTATAGACCAAAGACCTTGTTTAAATAAAAACATGTAAGAAATTATAGTCGGGCGTGGCCGACCATATGATACCCTACACCAGTTATGAATATTAAATGTGATTTATTTTTCATAATAAAGCATTTATCTTCAATATTCCCTTGTTCCGATACATTTAAGCAATTTATGGATGAAAAACTAATTTTCTGAAAGAGGCTTTATATGGGGGCTAGGGGCAAATATGGACCAAGCCCGATAAAATTGTGTGAATATATTTATATTTACATAATATTTTATTGTGCTGAATTTCATCGCGATATTTGTGTTTATAAGCTAATTTGGGACATTCAAGTAATTTTCTGAAGGGGACTTTGTATGGGAGCTAGGGTCAAATGAGGCCCGATCTTTATGAAATTTGGCAGGGTCATCAAGACTTCTATAAAACTTAGTTGTGCCGTATTTTATCGATATATATGTATATTTAACATAATTATGAGCTCAGAAGCCTCAGAACCCTCGGGGGGTTCTGTTCTATGGGGGCTAGGTGAAATAATGGACCGATCTTAACCATTTTCAATAGGCTTCGTCCTTAGGTCAAATAAAACGTGCGTGCCAAATTTCATCCAATTATCTTGAAAATTGCGACCTGTACCTTGCGCACAAAGTTTACATGGACAGCCAGCCAGACGGACGGACGGACGGACATGGCTTAATCGACTCAGAAAACGATTCTAAGCCGATTGGTATACTTTAAGGTGGGTCTAGGACGAATATTTTTGTATGTTACAAACATCAGCACAAATCCAATATACCCTCCCCACTAAAGTGGTGTAGGGTATAATTAGCATACATATTCCCTATTATATAAAGCCTACTATTAGGCTGTTATATTTCGCAATAGTTCTTACATATAATGAAAACTTTTCATTGATATGTTACACATTATTTGTTATCTACTCATAATTAATTAAAATGATAAACAAAAAAATTTGGAATTTCTTAATCTTATCGCAAATATGTGAGTTTTTGATTAATTATTTAAAATTAACAAAATGTTTGCCAAAGTTTATGGAATTCATAAAAAAATATATTTCCTAATAATTAAAAAAATTTTCTTTACCATTTTCTTTACAGGTGAGGGTACAGCCACCTTTCTTTTGGGATAACATTGTGAGGTATTATAACATCTATTGAGTATTTTATTTGATGATGACTCTGTAGAGGGACTACCACAATCAAAATCCCAAAATTTTATTAAACCATAAGTATCAATTAAACTGGGTATGATGATTTTTTTCATTATTTCAGGTTTTTTTTTCTTGAAAATCTTACGATTTTTAACACTTGTTCACATTATTTTAACTTTAAAAATTCTTAAAGTGCAAATTTAAAACTTCAAACAAACTTGTCTGAAAATCTTGTTTTATTGACAATTATTAAAAATATTATAATAAACCCTCTAAAACAAATTGTTATTGAAAAAATTGAATTTCTTAACAGGTGTCAACTAAGGCAACGATAAATATTAACTGATTGTTATAGAATTTGAAAAATGTCGATAACCAAAGTACCACAACTCACTACACCACCACCCATTAGCACACACGATAACTGGCTGACACAAACAACAACAACAACAAGTAATCAAGTGTATGGGTTGGTTTGAATTTTTATGCAAACTCAAATCAATCTGCACTAAAGTTACAAAAACAATTTCTATGTTGATTCTATAAAGAGCAAAACCAGCTATAACCCAACTATAAAGTTAAAGGCCAACTTTTTTATGCAATGAAGAGAATAAGAAAAAAGAAAAAAAAAGAAGAATAGGAAGAACTAGCGCGACTCATATCACGTCAGAAGGGGGGGAGGGGACGGGGGAGCAGGGGAACAAGAGGGGGGGGGAGAGAAAGGAAAAGGGGGCGAGAGGCGGGGGGAAAGGGGGCGCGAGCGCGGAGAAGGAGGGGGGAAAAGGAGAGGGGAGGGGCGGCAGGCGAGGGGAGGGGAAGGGGGAGACGAGGGACACGCAAAAAAAGGGGGGAAGGGCGAAGGAAAGGAAGGCGAAAGGCGAGGGAGCGGGCGAGCGAGCGAGCGAGCGAGCGAGCGAGCGACGAGCGAGCGAGCGAGCGAGCGAGCGAGCGAGCGAGCGAGCGAGCGAGGAGAGAGCGAGCGAGCGAGCGAGCGAGCGAGCGAGCGAGAGCGAGGAGCGAGCAGCGAGCGAGCGAGCGAGCGAGCGAGCGAGAGAGCGAGCGAGCGAGCGAGCGAGAGAGCGAGCGAGCGAGCGAGCGAGCGAGCGAGCGAGCGAGCGAGCGAGCGAGCGAGCGAGCGAGCGAGCGAGCGAGCGAGCGAGCGAGCGAGCGAGCGAGCGAGCGAGCGCGAGCGAGCGAGCGAGCGAGGAGCGAGCGAGCGAGCGAGCAGCGAGCGAGCAGCGAGCGAGCGAGCGAGCGAGCGAGCGAGCGAGCGAGCGAGCGAGCGAGCGAGCGAGCGAGCGAGCGAGCGAGCGAGGGCGAGCGAGCGAGCGAGCGAGCGAGGAGCGAGCGAGCGAGCGAGCGAGCGAGCGAGCGAGCGAGCGAGCGAGGAGCGAGGAGAGAGCGAGCGAGCGAGCGAGCGAGCGAGAGAGCGAGCGAGCGAGCGAGCGAGCGAGCGAGCGAGCGAGCGAGCGAGCGAGCGAGCGAGCGAGCGAGCGAGCGAGCGAGCGAGCGAGCGAGCGAGCGAGCGAGCGAGCGAGCGAGCGAGCGAGCGAGCGAGCGAGCGCGAGCAGCGAGCTATCGAAGCAGCTAGCGAAGCGAGCGATCGACTATCGAGCGAGGCAGCTCGAGATCGACGAGCGAGCATAGCGAGCGAGCGAGCGAGTAAGCGAGCGAGCGAGCGAGAGCGATCGAGCTACGAGCGAGCGAGCAGAGAGCAGCTAGCGACTAGCGATCGAGCGAGCTAGCTAAGCGAGCGAGCGAGCTAGCTAGCGAGCGATCGAGCAGCGAGCTAGCGATCGAGCTATCGAGCTACGAGCGACGAGCCGAGCGAGCGATCGGATAATCGAGCAAGCGCGAGCTATCGAGCGATCTAGCGAGCTCATGCTATCTATCGAGCGATATCTATAGATTTATCTATCTATCTATATCTATTATCTATCTATCTATCTATATCTATCTATCTATCTATCTATCTATCTATCTATCTAATCTATCTATCTACTCTATCTATCTAGCCTATCTATCTATCTATCTATCTATCTTATCTATCTAGTTCTATCTAGCTATCTATCTATCTCTCTATCTTCTATCTATCTATCTATCTATCTATCTATCTATCTATCTATCTATCTATCTATCTATCTATCTATCTATCTATCTATCTATCTATCTATCTATCTATCTATCTACTTTTCCATTTTAATGTACTTCAGTTTACGTTTTAATATTAATTTAAAGTTTTACTTTTATCACTTACTGTCAATTACCAACATTTTTCTATGAGTGAATATTTTTGTAGAATACTTAAAACAATGATTAAGCATTAGTTAGATGTAATGTTAAATAGAAAATATGAAATTCTTACAACTTTTCATTTTAATGATAAGATAGATTTCAAACAACAACAACAATTGTAAACAAAAAGGGTGAACAAATTGGTAGGTTTACTCTTGTCTAATCACGTTCATTACGAAGAAAAAAGACAGCTAGAAGACATGTGTATTTACATAAATACATAGATAAATACATATGTAGGTACTGTATAATAAAACTAGACATATAAACTTGTTAATAACAAACAAAAAAATATAAGGGAAACATGTCATACTTAAGATATCGGTTAACAAAAGCAATGAAGTCCAAAATCTTAATTTTACATTTTTTAAATAAAATTTTAATATTTTGTTGGAAAATTTATTTAAGTTTAACATTTTACAAATTGATATAAAGAATTTTCTTTTTGAATCTTTAATTTATTTAAATTGGACTTAGTGCTTTTTTGCCAATAACTTATAATGCTAAACAAGTTACTTTAACCCCTTTATGCTGGTAGATGTGAGAACAAGAATGTTTTAACTTACAAAAAAACAAACAACAAAATCAGTAGTCATTTGTTTTAACATTTGATATGTCAGATAGTATTTGTTGTTTTTTGTTTACCTTTTGTTTTTATTATTCCTTTCCTCTTTTCTTAGGTGTAAATTGATATTATGTCATAACAACATGTCTAGGGAGAAAATCTCTTTTGTAATTTTTTCTCATCAGTATCATTTACTTTGTTTGTGTTCATCTCAATTAATGAATGAATGTGTGAGTAAATGAAAGAATGAATGTGTCATTTGCAAGAATAACTAAAGATTTTTTCCAATGTTTGATGGATTTTTTTTATAAATTTAATTATAATATTAGAGAAAAAGTAAAAAAAATAATTAATCTTTTGTTGCAATGTTTTTATTAAATAAGAGTATTATTTATTGTAATTAAATTGTTTTAGAAATGATGTTATAAGTTAATATTTGAAAAATGATTAGAAAACTTAAGATAGACTATAAAATTGAACATAACTAGCTACCTGACTGTTTACTAGGTTATATAAA